CACTCCGAGATAGTTTACTAATCCCCCTTTTATCATCTCAGCAACTTATAACAGAAGAAGAACCCTTAAAAGTGAGCCCTCAGTTACCAAAAACATAGGTAGTCATACCACTGTCATGAGAAGGCCATGTCCCACTACTAGGACTTTCTGTAGAAGAGTCAAACAAAAGCTCCTTCCAAGATGCTGTCCCAACTTCTGCCTCATGATCATTGCACTATCATGCAGGAAAGAGCAGGTCAGGAAAGGCCATGGACTCTAATGTCAACCCCTTCTAGAAGATACTCTGCAGAACCAGGAAAATTAAATGCCCTGAGCTGCAATCCCAGCAGATTTCTTGATTCTTTGCTGCTTTGATAAATCATTTATTAGAACAGCCTTTTTACATAATCCCTGGGGGAGGAAAAAAAAAAAAAAAACATAAAATAGATTTATCACAAAACCCTGTCCTCCTACCAACCATCTTCAGACCAGGACATATATTTCTCTGATTATTAATTAACTGAGGCACAGTAACATCTTCAAGCCTTTTAACCTCTCCCATTCTCTTTTGTCCTTCAAGAGTGTAGATGACAATGCAGGTGTGCTGTTCAAAACACAGAAAACTTCTTGAGCAGCTGAAGTAATAGCATCATGCTTTGAGCCATATAGCCATAAATGCTAACATTAAAGTCATTCAAAAAGCAGGTATTTAAGCTATTCTTCCAGGTCACCTATGACATTCTTAGGTATACCTGTTTAAACCTCGTGTAGCACCACTAATACTGAAGATGTTGACCTGGAGAAAGAGAAGTGGTTAGTTGTCAGTAGYAAATGTAACAAAAATTCTGCCTGTGGTGGCAGTCGTATAATCCACCAGCAGATATTTGTCCTGAAAAGAGAAAAGGAAATGATATTGTAAGCACTGATTGTCTATCTGTCTGTCTATCTGCCTATCACTGTGACATCTCAACTCTCAGGATAAGCCACAGCTTTTCTTCTTTTTGGAGTCCATCCAAATACCTCTGAAATATGAAATACAACTGCACATAAATAACAGGAAAGGGGAGAGCTGAGTGCACCAACAACTTTGGAGTATATAGAGCCTTGTGAAACTACAACAGTCAAGTGAAGCTGGAGACAACAGCTGCTTTTTCCCTAGAACGTGTTCCCAAGGAAAATGCACAGTTATTGGCCTCCTCCTCCACTGTCCCCAGCAACCCTGGCCCTTCTGTCCTTGGCTTCTAGCTAGTAAAAAGTTTCACATTGCAGCGCGGAGATCAGGACAACAAAGGAGAAAATAAATAAATAATCCAAATACAGTCCAAATCTGCAAGCAAGTGATATACTAATAGCAACAAAGTGCAACTCACAGCTTCACTATCCTGTGGTCTAAATGAATTATAGTGAGCAAATGCACTTTGATCTCTTTTATTAGTCCCATTTGTTAAAATGCTGTATTACTTACAGCTTTGCACAGAGTGAAGAAATGGAATTAGAATTCCATCTTAAGAGCAAAGTGATGATAAAAACTAGTTTAGCTTTGTGAGCTTGTCTAAAGGAAGGATTCTTGTATTGGTATAGCAGCAGCTCAGTACCAGGGCTTTTCATCTGATAAAAAGTCTAATCCTTGCAAAAGAGTAGGCAGTAGACTTTCCATCAACACTACCAGCGTATTTGGTGAGGTTTTCATGTATTAAGAGTTTGAGTCAGCAACACCTCTTTGGGGAGAGAGTTACCCAGACTGTAGCCACTTAATGCAGTCTTACCTGGAGATGTGAGTCCCAACAGTGCAACCAGTTAAATCTGTGCTGTAGGTACCTTGGTTTAAGGAGGGTATGTAGCTTCATCGCAGTCAGCACTGATCTCTGTTATTACAATGTGATTCATTTGGGCACAGCTAGGCACATAGCAAAGGAAGAGAGAAATTGAGTCCTAATCTCTGCCGACTGTTGGCTAGACCTCCACTGATTGGTTTGGGATCCCAGTATGATTTGCTCACGAGCAGATGTAGATACACCCATGACGTGCGCTTAGGCAGTAGAGATACACTGCCACAGAGTCAGTTAAAAATGTAGGAATCGAAGTTCAGAGACAAACTAGTTTTTTTTTAAAGGCAGAATCACAGAATCACAGAATCACAGAATTACAGAATGGTTAAGGTTGGACGGGACCTCTAGAAATCATCTAGTCCAACCTTCCTGCTCCAGCAGGGACACCCAGAGCATGTGGCACAGGGCGGCATCCAGGTGGGTTTTGAAGACCTCCAGAGAAGGAGGCTCCACAACCTCCCTGGGCAGCCTGTGCCAGGGCTCTCTCACTCTCACAGTGAAGAAGTTCCTCCTCACAGGGAGATCGAACTTCTGTGTTGGGGCTTGCCGCWTTACCCCTTGTCCCATCACTGGCCACCACTGAGAAGAGCATGTAAGTAATTATCCAGCCCCAGCCAACCCAGCTTTGATGCTTGGTAGCTGTGCCCGTATCAGTAAAATAAAAATACTTGGCATTTTTTTTCTAGCACTGAGGCCAGCTGGCAAAGAGCGACTTACACCCAAACTATTGAATTCCCCTACTTCTCAGAGTATCATGGCCATGTCCAAGCTGACTACGGAAAATAGCCCCCGTCCTGTGCTAATATTTTGATTGTGCCCAGGAACTGTTTGGAGCTAGGCACAAGCCAAAACTATGTCAAGGACCTCTCTAAAAACTTAATGGTATAAGGAATTGGGCTCCAGTCCGGTGAACTTTCTCTGCCACTGTTAATTTACTGATATAGATGTAGCTGATCTRTCTTGGACAGGATTATTAACAACCCAGAGGTGATTTTGAAAAGAATAGTCTTATACTGTGATCTATATTCAAACATGTGAGGTAGCTAGACAGCAAATTTCAAATTCAGACTCAAGCCAAGTGCTTCCAGTGGTGCTTCCAGCAGCATTTAAAGACTGATCCTACTCAGGCAAAATCAGAAGGTGCTTTGTTTGTTCCATTGCTGAGATCAAGCACAGGACCTTGTTGACTGATATATTATTCAACTAGGCAGACGTAAATTGGGGACATTACCTGATGCTTACTGGCTAATAAGAGATTGCAGAAGCAGGTCCATTGCTATTTAATAACACCCCACATCATTACTCACCATTACTCTCCGGTTTTCTGTCCAGTGATTGATGACTCCTGTGAGTCTGGAGCAACTCGTTTGCTCACATGCTCAGAGCTGCAGTGCTCACATCTTCATCCAGGTGGCTGGCAGAATAACTCCGTAGAGAGTTAATTACTTGAAACTTCAGCTTCAAGAAGAGAGGAAGAAGAGGGATGCTTGGTTTTTCTATAGGTCTCCCTCTTGAAACTACACCTGCCACATACATTAAAGCATGTATCTTTCTTTGTTAAGAAAGATTTTCATTTTTTTGAGCTCCCACAAACCTATGCTATCAGCCAAAGGCAGGGAGTACAGATTTTAGGCAGGAGTGAGAAGATGTGTTTGTGTATGTATGTGTATACATGTGTATATATGTCTTTTTCAAATGCAATTTGTCATGTATCATTGTGAGACTTGCTTTCCAGGAGGAACTAGACCAGAGAGGAGGTGCTTCTGAATGCAGTCACGGTACAGCAGCCCAGGGCTGTAAACCATGTCCTGTGCTGTTGTCAGGAACAGGTGTACCACTGGCAGCAAATGCTCAGCATTAGCTTTTTGAGGGGCTGCCTCAAACTGCCTCTTCATTTCTGCCTCTTTATCAGGAGACATCAGGTTCCAGGGGATGATTTGTGCTGCCAGAGCTTTGCAGGGTTAGGAGAACAGATGGCTTTGTCTGGAGTGCAGGCTGGTCTAGGCTAGTCTTACCTGGGGTTTGTGCTCAGAGATGTTGTTGGCACATGAGGACATTTCTGGCAAAGGTAGCAGAGGTGCTTCTTATACAAGGTATTGGCCCCCTGCCTCACATATGTCTCAATCCCACAGTCACTGCAGCTAAAGGAATATACAGTCTGGCCAAGGGAGTTCCTGGAGCTAGCACAGAAAAGAAAACAAAGAAAAGGGGAAAAAAAAAAAAAAAAAAAAGAAAAAAGAAAACTCCCTCCCCAAAGCTGAAAGAGTTAAATGCATTGACCCCTGCTGGAGTCTGACCTGGCTTGGCTTTTCTGATCCCCAAATGGCAGCTCCTCTATGGAGAAAAAAAAAATAGCATCTTAGGTAGCCTGTAGGTACAGTATTCAATCACTAAGGGTGTTTTTGTTGCCGGATGCTCTCCATGGTTGATTGGTTGATGTGCTGGCAAGTTGTGAAACTACTTATGGAAACCATGTTAGGAAAGCACTACAGTTAATCTTTCTCAACTGCAGAGTCAACATAAAGAAAACGAATCTGCAGTAATTGCCAGTTAATAAAACTCCTTGTATGGCTTAAGTGCCCAAAAATCAAACTATCCATGACAATGAATATCATAACGGAGAGCTTATTAAATTCATGTCTTACTTATATTGCCATAATGAGGAARTAGCAGTAGGTGTATAGATGCCCTTCTTAGTGAATATTGGAAGGCAAAGGGAAGGTTATGCTGTTAAGTGAAGGGCATAGAAAGAGCTACTSTAGGCATAGCAGAGGGGAAGAGAACGAGATAGAGAACCAGTGTCTGGAAACCATGCATCACATCTGCTGACAGCCAGAGCAAAGGTTACCCCAGTCTTGTGCGTGCTGGTCCTGTGGCACCAGCATGTGGGTCTCCAGGTCTCACGGTGTTGTGTCCGAAATGGCACGCCGTGCCTGGCACCCCGTGCCTGGCACCCCATGGCACAGCGTCCTGGGACTCCAATCTGTAACAACCCCTCCTACCCTCCGTCCCCCACTGGCAACCATCCTCTCCTCACTTTCCTCCCCACCTGCCCACCCACCTACCTGCTCACTCCCTCCCTACCGCCACCCTCACCCCTTTCCCCATGTTCATTCTCAGTGGTCGTTGCATGTACGTGCCTTGGCTCCCTTCAGCTCATTAAGCCCACTGCCTTGCCTCATGTTTTGACAGGTTTTGTGAGTTTTGACAATCCTGCCAGTGCCCAAGCTGCCATCCAGGCTATGAATGGCTTCCAGATTGGCATGAAGAGGCTGAAGGTGCAGCTCAAGAGGCCAAAGGATGCTAATCGTCCCTACTGAAGAGTTGTGGGAACCGCTGGATACAAAGCACTAGCACAGGTAACTGCATGGGGCAGGGGATGTCAGCTGTGGTCTTCGCCTCTCTTTGTGTTGTAGACTCTTGAAAAGACTCAACTCTGTGATCCTCTAGCTTCTGCCTTTTTCACTTAGGCCTCTGGCTAGAGCCACACCACACAGACACACACCCACACATAAACCAGGAACTGTTCGTGTGTGCACCTGCTTAGAGAGAGAGGTGGAAGGATGCTTAATGAGGGATTGAGCCTAGCTTCCCACCTCTGTGGCATCCCTCATCTCTGAAAAGTCTTCCTGTTCACTAGAGGGGAGCTGACAGCTATCCTGATTCCCCTTGCTCAGCCAAAGAGAGTGTTTTTGGTGACTGAAGAAAATCTGTGATTAAGAAATGGGACTGGGCTGCTGTTTAATCTCAGGTGATTGGGCTGGGACAGTGTCTGTCTCAATAGCTCTGTGTTGCAAACGTTTCAAAGCATTCTTCATTCTTCATGCAGTGTAGTCTGTATCCAGTTTCATCCCAGCATAATAACTATGTGTGAATACATCTCCCTGACAATTAAATGCCCCCTAATTTCTTCTTTTCCTAAACTCAACAAATTAATTAAAAGATACAAGCTCACATCTTGCTTAGTTACCCCATTTTCAAGCCCCATTTTCAAAACAATAAGCCCCTAAGAATCCAGGTGCTTAAAATAATTAAAACACCTAATACTTACTGTTTTTGCAAATATTTAGAGGAATCAGGACCCTTGTTGCCATGGAATTTCCATGTCTGCACTGGACAGTGTAGCAGAAACCAGAGATGTCTAAGATGAAGTTGGATGGCAGTGGTCTGTGCTATGTAAATACAGCAGTTTGCCTGGCATTAAGTAGGAGATTCCCTGCACTGCACTGTGCTGTGTCATGAATATGGCAGTGACTTTTCATGCTGGTGCTTCAGATTTAAACAATTTTAACAGTCACCTTTGAACAATATAACCTTACCACATGCCATGACAAAATGACATGAACCATCAACAGTTTTGATCCAGRCCTTGCTGACTTAGCTAAGATTTGGGCAGGATGTCCCCATCTTCAATTTTTCAAAAGAACTGCATAGTGTTTTAATTTTTAATTTATGTACATAACGTATTTTAAAATACTTTGTTACAGCCTTCAGAGCAATATCCATTCCACTGAGAATTAAGGATTGGTATCCAAATGGTTGGGAAAGAGATACTGCACTGAAGGTGACATGAAGTGAATCAAGATACTTTTCAGTAAACCTGTTAGGTGCATGTGCTAATTTCACAGGGGTTTTTAGAATCTCTGTGGCAGTAAAGACTCAAGATGCAGCCTCCATAGTTTACTATCTCCCTTATACATGACCATGCAAAGATAACTATCAACATGTTCTCCCTCTTCAAATACCTCTTTTCTTTTCCTTGCTTATGACAAGGCCTCTTGGAAGCTTGAAACCAAGATGTGTTTCCATATCCAACTGCTTTTTGCTTCATCACACTGGCTTGTTACTGCAGGTGTTGCTCAGAAGTGCTGGGGCAGAGTGCAAGATGCATGCATGCTATTTTGTTAATGCAGGGACTGCCTTTGGAGGAGAGGTTTTCAATAACAACTGCAGAGTGACTGAGGAACACAGTTCCATTCAGTTTTGGAAATCTCTCCCTGGTTTGCTGGTGCCAAGCAATGGGCTTCTACTGTGGTGCAGCTGTGATTGCGGAATCTGTGCTTGATTCTTACTGTAGCATAAGAAAGTACTGGGCTATAGACTCTTCTGTGCTGTTGGAGATTTACTAGAAACCATGTACAGTGTTTTGCCTGTCTTGGTTCTTTATGAAGGTCTACCTCTGCCTGTCATCACCAGGCTGACCTTGAGGTCTGAACCCTTTTCTTATAAAAAGGTCACTCGATAGTAGGTCTAGGGCTTCCTCCTCACTCAAAATAAATTATACAGAAAGAAAATAGCTGTAAAACAGTGATAAAATTGCAAATCTCTGTCAGAGTACTTCTTTCCTCTGTTTGTGCAAAGCAGAAGAACGGTCTTCGGTAGCTGCCTCTAACTGAGAAACCCTTTAGTTTTCCTGACTTTCACTTTGATTCTAATTCTCAGCTGCCCATCAAAATCAGCTCAGCTGTTACCACCACTTTGCTTATAGTTATAGAAGTCAGGCAATCCCTATAAAATTAAAGGGAATGCAGATCGAAAGTCCTTGTTGAATCCTACCTCAGTGGACCTCAGTGGCTGGAAGAGCCAGAGACCCCCTGTCTTTTAGCAAGAGAGAGATCAGGAAGAAGTTTTGTGTGTGGTGCCTTTTCTGCTAACAAAAGAGATTAATCAAGTACAGGTGGTAGCCCAAGGGTGACAGCAAAGGAGGGTATCACAAGGAAGGACCTGGTTTAGTAGAGGAGGAACCTTGCCAAGTTAGAGAGGATGATGCCAGTTTAGAGAGAAGAGGATGGTTGGAAGTGGCAAGGGAGAGTCAAAAGCTCAGAAGCACAAAAGCTCAAAACATCAGAAACTCATCTCTTTTCCAGTGCTAGGAAACCTCTGTATAGGTACTTTACAAACAGACACAGAATTTTTAGTCATGCTCTGATAAGGACTGCCAGGGCTGTGCARTAGCAGTCAGCACAGGGCTGAGCCCTCACTAATAAACATTACTTAGGTCAGTTGTCCTTGGCTTAGTACTGTGTACCCCCCTGGGTGGTTTGATGTGCAGCCTCCAGTCTGCCTCCAAAATACCTCTGGAAGTCTCTGACTGGTCCAGTTGGTAGACAGCATCATTATTRCAATGAAAAGTTTCCTAAAAACACTAGGATTAAAGCCAGCTGGGCCCCATGGCACCACACAGAGAGCTATTGCAAAGCGTGAGAGCTCCCTTAGCTGGCAGAAACACAATAACCCCGGTATGTTTTTTATCTTCTTTTACTTTGGTTGCAGTTCTTCAGGGTACTTATCTCAATTCCAATTTGAAGCATGTGCGTAGCCATATTGACATCAGGGCAATTAATCATGTRCTTCAAGAGTATGCTTGAGAAACTTTTTAATTGGGATTTTTCTAAGCAAGAGCTTTGTTTTATCAAATTCCTTTCCAAAAATAAGAAGCTGCCAGCAAACACACAGGCAGCACCCAGTTTGATGTAAGCCACCAGAGCATTTTTCCCAACCAAGCAAGAAAGATCTTCCCTCTATTTTAATCATCAATGCACTTTTTTTTTTTCATTATTTAATTTATAAATCTCCTTTTTGGGACACAAGCAGTCTAGGCCATAGTGATCTGAAGTCCTTTTGTTTTCCTTGGAAGTACTCTAAAGTTGCTGTCAAACACCAAAGGGGTCTCTGTGATGGGGCAGATCAGCCCCCAAGCTRCAGCAAGCAAAGCCCTGAAGAATTCACACCGTAAAATGCTTCCAAAATGGCTGGTTCTCTTCTCTCTTTTTCTTTCTAATTGCAGAGGTGGTTGTAGCAAAAGACCGGGAGAGAGTGYGGGTAGGGGGGAATAAAGCGAAAGAAAGAGAGGAGGATCATTTGAGGCAACTCTGCCAAAATCAATATATTCTATTACAAATCCCCCCTTAGGACTAGGAAGCCGAGATTCGGAGGCACTTATTGTGTCTTTCAGATAGCAAATGCATGAAATAATGAAAAAGAAGTAAGTGCTGAAACCCGCAGCTCACTTGGGTGGCCGCTTCAGAGCCGTTCCGTGCGGTGTGATGTGACGAGCTGGGTGTGCACCCTGCCATGCCCTGGGGTGCATGGGCGAGCCCTCTGCGCAGGCAACGCTGACATCCCGCTGGGATCAACTGCACCATAAGGTTCCTCTTACCATGTGGAGATGTGTCCGTATGCCTCCAGCCTCCCAAACAGGGTCTAGCAGCTAGTTCCCGGCTKTCTCATCCACTGTAAGCAAGTACGAATCATAACACGGCAATATTGCCTAGAAATACCATAATTCACAGTTTGCTGGTATTTAGGACCTAGCAGAGCAACACAGAAGAATCCAGTTGATTTATCACTGACAGACATTGAACAGAAGAATAGTGCAGATCCTGTCCATTCCTGCTCGGCGGATTCATTTTAGTGACTGATCATTAGCCAAGTGTTCTTTGCCTCATCCTCAGGGATGCTGCTCTTGAAGTTTTATTTAAAGCTTGAGATGGAGGGARACATTTGGATCAAAGCAATCAGGAGCACTGGGATGGAACTGAGTGAGACAAAGTGAGTGTGAGGGAGATGAACTGAGTGAGGCAAAGTGAGGCAGAACATGGGAAAAAATGGCCAATACTAAGTTTTATTTTATTTTTTTTTCAGCTGTACTGTAGTCTTCCAAGGGGAGTAGTGGCAAAGCATTAAAAGACATCATGTCCAGGCAACCAGCTTCACTAAAATATCAGGGGAAATAACACCATTCGAAGGCTGAGTACAGACAAAAGATGTTCAGATCCTGCTTCCCAGCCCCTCAAACATGTGCTGATGTGTGATTTATTGTAGCTTGTTATTGCAGCTGGCTGAAAATGTGATGTTTTTCAGATAGGAAACGTCAATTTTTCCATTGGAATGTACTGGTTACCAAACTGGAAAACATTGCATTTTTCTCATTATCTGCTCCCCGATAAGAGAAAAAGAGAAAAAAAATCTGGTTTTGAACTAAGCAGGTATTATCAGCCAAAAGAAAAAAAATCCAAATGCCCATGATCAGCAATGTTGAGGGAACATTTTTGGTTGTCTCTTCCTGTCATTTCATACTGCTTCAATGTAACACAAAATATAAGTCCAGTTTTTACTGAATTTGGGGCTGCTTGGTCCCCTCAGATAGGCTTGTATTGCTTCCAGTGAGAAACTCTTCTGCAGTTGCATTGATCTCACTGTTGTCTATTAGACATCTTGAGGTTCAGACAAAATATCCTTTATCCAAATCTAATCTCATTTCTTGTAGTTATGCCTCCTACAATCATGCTAACCAATTCCTCTTCCTCCTGCACAGATTACTGTCATTTCCCTCCTTTAGTCATCACTTAGATTATTT